GAGGTTGGAATTATTTCTGCAGTGCTGGAGGGTAGGGTTTGAGGTAGTGGGGTCTGGTCCTCAACCCTGTCTCTGCTCAGACACACCCCAGATGCCCATCACTTAGACTAATAGACATTGGTCCATGCAGGTCACCACGCAGTGACCCTTCAACCCTGCGCACCTGTCCCAATCTGTGGACCTTGCCATTCCTTTCAACAAACTTTCCTCAAGTGTGCTGCCTCACCTCTTCCCAGGAGGTGGAGATAATTCTCCTTTATCAGGGAGTCACTGCCATCTACACATTCATTTTGTCTTGTGCTCTCTTTTCTCCCCCAACTCTGAGCTTCCTTTTCTAGTCTCAGGAGGCTGAGAAGGAAGAAAGGATTTTTCTTTCTCAAACCCCCAGCCAGTCTGAATCCTAGATTCCTAACCCTAACCCTAACCCTAACCCTTGGGAAGCAAGCAAAGGAGAGAGGACAAGATCGTTTCTCAATGCTTTGGAACTCTCAACCTTCACAGGGGCCAGCAGGTGGTATGGTGGTTAAGGTACTGGACTCCCACATGGCTGACTGCGGTTCAAGTCCTGAACCTGGTGGCTTGCTTTCTCACTTTCCCTCTCTTTCTCTGTCTGTGTTTCTCTGGTAAAAATAAAACATAAATAATAATGACAAATAAAATAAATAAAGATATCTTTAAAAAAAACAAAACTCTCAGCCTTCACAGAGTCAAACAGAAGGTACAAATTAGAAGTATGAAGAAATGCTTCAGAAGGAGAGGGTATCATTGTTAAGATCCAGTGGACAGGGCACTTGCCAGGTCAGCAGATGGCCCCAGGGAAGTGGGGAGGGGTCTCCTTTCAGGTATCTCCTGCAAGGACCTCTTTAGGAACACTCGTGTTGTCGGCCTGGTAGGAGAAGCAGTCACTGAGAGGGAAATACCTTACAATTCACACAGTTCACCCTACAATTCAAAGGCTATCTGCTATGGTTTGAGAGTTCCCTCAAAAATCCGTGTGTTGAGATTTGATTGTGATGGGATTCGAGAATGAAAATTTCATCTGGTTACGGCAGTGAAAGGCAGAGTCTTTGGGAGGAGATTAGGATTAAGGTCATCAGGGTAGGGCCCCCATGATTTACTCATGGAGGGTTTATAAAGAGAGGAAACGAGACCAGAACAGAGACACTCATGGAGATCTGCTGTGTTCTGCCCCATGCAATGTGGTGGTGGTAAATGCAATGTGGTGGTCTGCAAGACTACGTAAGACGCTCAACCGGATGCCACCCTGTACGTGGGCCCTCCAAGCTGTGAGGTGAATACATCTCTGTTCTCTTACATTACCCAGCCTCAGGTATTTTCTGTGATGAGCAACAAAACTACAACTAGAACAAAACTAGAACAATATCTAGTTAATTTAGGTATAGTCTGTTCTAGAAAAAGCGAGATACTATGCCTCACCCAGTGCTTCTTTCTGCAGATAAGGTGGGACTCCATGTGTTTTTCTCAGCATTCCTGAGCACTGGACACATGTTTGTCAAGGTTATCAAAAAGTTGCTGTTAGTATAGTACGAATGCCCCAAGTAGTTAAAGATTACACTAACAAAATAAATGCTGGTACCCCAGGAAGGTGTAAAATTACCTCAGAATGAGCTCAAAGGCTGAACATCTTTTTGAAATACTCTTTTAGATAAATAGTTGATATATTATTTGAAAAAAAGTTAAAAAGTTGCCTCGGTCTACTGACTTGAGTCCATCCATATTTGTTGAGAAAAAAATAGAGCCCCAAGCAGTATGATAGTTTCTTTTTCTATTAGATCTATTTAGTTACTATTTAGCAAACTCAGACTTATTCTAACCTAATAATCTGGGGCTCCTAGATCCAAACTACAAGGTGCTCTGACAGCTCCATGTAAACTTTGGGTGCAAGAGTCTTTTTGTTTTTGTTTTTGTTTTTTTGAGAGAGCAAGAGAGAGCAGATGTTTTAGACAGGGTCTCATCATATGTTCCTGCCTCAGCCTTCCAGTCAGCCAGGACCACAGACACATGCCACTGCACCTGGCCTGTTTGATTTGGGCCAATGTTTTAGTTCATTCTAGTACTCAGAGCAAAAGTACCTGATATGGGTAATTTAAGAGAATAGAGGATTATTCAGCCCATGGTTTAGAAGTTGAGGTCCGGGGTCCATATCTGGTAAGGATTTTCCTGTCAGTGTGGTTCTGAGGCCCTGCAGGGCTTCACATCATGAGAGAACAGTGTCTCTGTGAATTCTCCTGTTTCTCTACTTATAAACTCACCATGGGTCAATCGTAGAGGTCCCACTCTAATGACCTAGTCACTTCCAAATGTCCCACTTTTGACAGCATGAATGTATAAAATTTCTGAATACCTTCACAATACAACCATCCCAAGACATATTTTTTGAGGGGGCACTCAAACCATAGCAGCTGGGAATTGAACCTGGGCCTTCCATGCAGCCTTAGCCATGGTGTTTGGGGCCCTCCTGCATGTGCCACTGCAATTGGGCCAGCTACAGGGATCTTACCACCACCAGCTGCAGTCCTTTTCTTCCACAGGCTTCCTGCTACACAGGAAATTGATGGGTAAAGAGGGACTTGGGACCAGCAGTTAGCATAATGGCTATGTCGCTGAACTCCCACATAGTCAACTGTGGTTTGAGTCCCGGACCTGGTGGCTTAAACTCACACTGGGCACATGTGCGTGCGTGTCCAAAATCCCGAGAGGAGAATGGAGGAGAAGTGATTGCAGCATAGCCATCCCCCCTGGAGGGTGATTTCTTGTTTTCTGTCTCTCTGTCTCTCTGGCAAGCACACGCACCCTATGTCAAAAACCTCTCCAAATAAATAAAAATAAATAAATAAATAAATAAATAAATAAGGGACTGAACCTAAGTAACAGAAAGTGATAATGCTGGGAAAGGAGGCCCCTTGAACGGGGAGAGAGTTTGGATGTGAGGTCAACAACAGGTACAGGGATCCCCCAGGGATGCCGTCTAAACCCTCTGCTTTTTCTCCACAAGCAGTTTTGCATTTGGTCCTCACATTCAGAGCGCTGGCTAACCGACATCCCCTCCCCTTTAACAACAGCAGAACTAGAGGAGCTTTGCCATGAAAGCTTCAAATGATTAAAAACAACAAGAAATACTAAAAACAACTTCCTGAGTCTTTAGACCTTGATAGCGCAGAGAAAGGGGATGGAGGCAGGTGGGAAAGTGATGGAAGAATGATTAAAGGCTTTTATCCAACCTGCTTGCATGTGTCAGAAGAATTGTCCCGAACTGGAATCACTGATGCCATTTTCTTTTTTCTTTTTTTTTCTTTTTACTATATTTAAAAAATATTCTTTCTTTCTTGAGATAGAAGAATGAGCATGCTCAACAGGGTCTCACACCACAATCCTTCCCAGCCTGCCAGGATCACAAGCATGCGCACGTGTCCAGCATATACAGAACTGGCCTGGGAACCGATCTTCCATATAGCTTCCATCATTGTAGGGCATTGCCCTACCGCTGTCTTATTGCAGCTGAGTCTTTTTTTTTTTTTTTTTTTTTGGCAAGTTAAACACTTTGAGACCTGGCTTTGGGGATACGGACAACAACCAGGAGGAAATAAGCTGCTGCTGAAGCAGCCTGACTCAAAGAATGGAGCAGAAAGAGGAAGTATTTGAGAAGTTATGTATCAAGATGAGTGTTTAAGAACGCACATGAAACTCCATAAATACTTTATAAAGTCTTTATTTATACACTACCTAAAAACATTAGCACTCTTATTCAGGTGCTATAAAAGACAATTTACATCGAAGTTGATAGCATACAAGCACTGTCCACAGAAGTTCTACCCAGTTCTTGAAGCACCCTTGCCCCTTGCCTGAGAGTCTCAGCAACATAGAAGAAACAGAGATGGATTTTAGTCAGGTGACCTGCAGGTCCTATTCATCAGCAATTCATTCATCATACAGAGGGGCTAGGGTAGGGCCGCAGCAGAGAAGTGGACCCCATAACTAAGTTTCCTTCTATCTCAAAGTCTGAAGCACACAGGTTCAGTTGGAAGATTGGCTTGCTGGCTTTTTTTTTTTTTTCTTTTCTACATCTCTCTGTTCTTCACTTCAGCTACACTCCATGTGTGTGTTCCTACATACAATGAAAATAAATACGAGGAAAATCGACCTCACTGCATTCACATGACAGCCTCTTTGGCTACACATAACCTGAGATGGATGGGACCCACCTACATTGGAAGGTCTCCATCTCAAAGACAGAATGTGTAGAAAGCCACTTATAAAATGATACCCACTTTGGAACAGCCTTAATGCAACATTTAAATGGATATGGTCAGATACAAACGATGTAGGAAAATAGGTAATGAAAATATAGGCCAGGAATCTCATCGCACTTTCAGAAAAATGCTCACTTGTAGGGAAGGGAGGAACATGATCAGCGAAGGACAGAAGAGGATTAGATCTGTATCTGGACTTTTACTAAAAAAGAAACCAATGCCAAAAATAATAAAGTAAAATAAAATATAAAATAAAAATGACTTCTTGGTGCCGCACATCAGTCAATGCTGGCTATGTGAGCACCCAAGATCCCCAGAGTTGTTCCAACCATGAACTTGACACATGATAACATAGCAAGGCAAGGAAGCCTCATTTAAGCATTAGCCCAAGGACCACTTTTTCTGAACACAATTTCAGATATACCTGTGCCTAGGTAGAAGCTGATCTGTAAGTGCTATTCACCCTACTATAGGGTTTTACACTTTTTCCTCTTCAGATCTCAAATCCTAGCTGGGTTTTCTATAGGGTCACTAACCACCCTGTTTTACCTAGGAATGAAGAGGATCCAAGGTTTCAGTCACAAATTAGCTGGTCACCTGGTTCTCTATACCAAAAGACATTCATTACTGCCTAAGATTTTACCAAACACATAAAATCCCCCAAACAAGAATAAACCAAGAATACTGTGAGACTTGTACATTTTCCC